AAACGAAGGATTATTTATATTTATATATGAACACTTTATTACGCATATCAAATCTTAAAATGTTCCCACGACAAACCCTTTGAATTAAAAAAATTTTATTCCCTCCAACCAGACCGATCAAAAATTTGGTTTATTTATTTAGTTCGTCAAATCGAATGGTGAGACGATTCTTCCTGATCTCCGATGCTGAATCTAAGATGGGGTCTCCCTGCAGCCACCGGCGACGGTGAAGTATTAGAACGGCAAGCAACTGTCATGGCGACCCACCCCTCACTCTTCGACCTTCTTATGGGATACGAGACGTTGGTGGATTTGGGAGATGCGTGAGGATAGTTCCTGCCGCGAGGTTTGCTGTGAAGCGCGCAGCCGCAACTACGGTGGTAGGGACGGTTCTCGATTTCAGAGTTGCAGCCGGAGATGCACCCTACGTAGACGATGGATCGAAAGAGTCCACCGACAGCAGCCATGTGGGGGGCACCGCAACCTGAGGAACGACGGTTGTGGCAATTGTAGAAGGCAGTTGTGTGGAATTTATGCATAGAACAGCGGTATGGGTAGCTGGAAAAGCGTGTCGTCGCTGCGTCTCATGTGTGGGTCCTGTCCAAAGACCGACATCGTTGCCACGTTTGAGCCGGGTTTGGGACAGTTGAAAGCCAAAATGAAAAAAATTTTATATTTAAATGAAAGGAAATCAATAACAAAAGCTCACTTTTAGTCCTAATATACAAATTGTTATTTTTACTGTAATTTATAATTTGGTTATAAAAAATTAATACTAACTAAAATTAAAAATTGAAAATCAAAATTAAAATTGAAATAGACAATTTATTTGGTGCAAATTTTTCAAGACACTTATTTGTGTTTTTTTTTTTTTTTAATTTTAAAATGTAAAATGAGAGACAATTTTTTTATTTTTAATTTAGTTCACTTGTATTTAAACTTACTTGTCTTTTAATTATTTATATTTTAATTTAATATTTATGAAAATAATAAAAATTAGAAACTCAATAGTATTAAACAGGCCAATAGCCTTCGTAACGCGAAGGTGGGGACTCCAAAGTCCAAATCTTGAATAAAAATTTTGTATTGTTGAGGTGGAGGCCCTCCAAATTGAATTTTAGCATTGAATGTTAATGTATGCAAGTTTATTTTAACTTTTTACTAGTTTTAAATAATTTTTAAAAATTAATAACATTAATGGTTTAATTGTAATATAAATTTTTAGTATGTTGGTTAGATTAATTAATATTTATTAGTACATGTTATATAAACATAACTTGTCACTACAAGAAAATGAGTTTTTTATGACTGAAAATGGTGATTGATTATTAGTTGATCACTAATATTTTTTATGTTTGTGACTTTGGAGTAGGGAAAAGATATGGAATTTTGGTATTACCAACAAGACAAGCAAAAGAAATTAGGAGAGAAAAAATAGGGGGATTTTGCATTTTTGGAGTTACCGACGAGATAGTTCATGCTCCTAGGTTGCATTTTGGGGACAGTGATATCAAATGGCCGTCTTACTGACAGGGACCTTTGATCCCTTCATCTTTAAAGAAGCATCCATGCGAGTAGGAATGTGATTGTGTCCCCTTTTTCTTTTTTCTTTTTTTCTGATAGGTTGATTAAAATTTTTTCCCGAAGAAAATGTATTTCTACACGAGTTTCAACCTGAAAATTGAAAATTTTCAATATGGACTAATTAATATGAAAACAAATGTTATTAATTCTAGTCTAACAGACCAAATGGGCCAATTTGTTGTTAATGAATCTGATTTCCCAATGCAATTCCTAGGATGAGCATTTTTACATAAAGGTTGTATATGAGTTAAATTTAGTATTTGATTTAAAAATTTTTAGGTGTAGTTTTTTAAATTTGATACTTACCTAAGTATTCAAAATTTTATATTTGGTATTTAACTTAACAAATACCGGATAACTTATGTATATATTTATATATTTAGAAAAAGAAAAAAAATCTAATATAAAATTCTATTGTTATGTGTGTTATGTATTTACCTTTTTTTTTATTATTTATATGAATTGTTATTGTTATGTATATGATTTGTTGGGTAATAAGCCTTACTTAATTTTTATTTTAAAAAAATATTATTATTAAAAGATATTAAGGAGAACAAATAGATGTAAAATTTTAATTACACAAGTAAGTAACAAATAAGTTAAATAAGTCAGCTAA